GAGGAGAAGGGATTATGGCATGACTATCCTCCTAGGGGGTGATTTCTCACTTGGTCTCTGTCTCTCTCTTTGTCTCTGGCAAGCGCACACACACTATAGTGAAAATTTCTCTAAAAAAAAAAAAAAGACTCGGGAACCAGCAGTTAACGTAATGGCTATGTCGCTGGATTCCCACGTAGTCGACTGCAGTTCGCGTCCCAGACCCAGTGGCTTAAAACCCACGCCGGGTGTGTGTGCGTGCATGCCCAAGATCCTAAGAGGAGAATGGAGGAGAAGGGATTGCGGTGGGACCATCCCCCCTGGGGGGTGATTTCTCTCTTTCTGTCTCTATGTCTGTCTGTCTGGTGAGCGCACGTGCCCTGTAGTGAAAACCTCTCCAAAAGAAAAAAAAAAAAGACTCTGTCGGCACACTCCTGGGGGACAGGGAATCGTCCCGGGGTAAAGGGGAGCACTCGCTCACTTCCAGGACCTGGGCGAAGGACAGGAAGTGGGGCTGTGGGGGCTTTGCACAGAGGCTGGTCCTTACCCACGCTCCCCACGTTCTGATTGCAGAAAGCCGAACCAGAGAATGACGAGAAAGAGAAAATATTGAAGGGAAAGGTAGGTGGGGTCAGTACGTGGACAGAAACAGCAATTGCTGACCTGACCGTGGGTCCCTCACAGTGGGTGGCCGGTCTCTGGTCTGACAGCTGCTGGCTCCGGTTTCCCTAAATTGCTACAGTATTCCGATAGTCTGGACCTATAGTAACATTATGCTACTGACTGCCGACTGATCAGAGATCGTGGCCCGAGGCTGTCCCTTACGGACAGCCAGGCTCTGTTCCTGCCTCCTGACCCAGGCAGGGAGCAGCTGGTTCGCATTCCTGAAGACTCTGGCCACCTCCTCCTAAGGGAATTACCTCTGAGATCTCCTCTGCCAGTCTGCCCTCGGGCCGGCTGGGGCTCGCACACTGGGTTTCTATCTGGCAGACACCCCCATAGGCGCCTGGCTGGCTCTCCTGGGAGCTGTGAGGCACAGACAAAGCTCAGGGGTGGCTTTGGGGAGGGCCCAGCACGAGGTCTGGGATGCTGACGGGCAGGTGAAGCTGCGTTGGGGAATGGCAGGGATCCTGGCCTCAGGGAACCTCAGCACTGCCCCTCCTCCCTCCTTAGCACCTGTGCTCCCCCACACTCGCAGGGTGCTGTCACCTCCTCCCTATGCACGGCATCCTCCCGGTGCGCTGGGAGCTCTTGCCTCTCTCCTCTGTCCTAAGGCAGCCGCCCCCTCCAGTGATTGGATCTTAGGCTGCTGCTTCCCCAGCTGTCTGTGGGAAGGAGCTACTCTTTAAACAAAAATATTTATTTACTTATTTTTATTTGTTGTTATTATTATTTTTTTAATTTGATGAGAACGGGGGAGGGGGGAGAAAGTGCAAGAGCAAGATGCCAGGCTAGGACTCGAACCGCAGTCGGCCACGTGGAGTCCAGCACCTTAACCACTGCACCACCTGCCGGCCCCAAGAACTACCTTTTTAAAAGTCTAATTCATCATAGACCAATTCCTTTGTAAAAATGAATCATGAAGGGACCATCAGGTGGCATGAAAGTTAAAGTGGCTGGACTCCCAGGGAGCAGACTGTGGTTTGAGTCTCAGTCCTGGCAGCATGAAAATCACACCCAGTGTGTGTGCCTGCATGTCCAAGCTCCCAAGAGGAGATGGAGAAGGAACTGAGGGTGATTTCTCACTCCCTGTCCCATTTCCCTTCATCTCTTTCTGGTGAGTGCACACACCCATTGACAAACAACTACAAAAAAAGAAAAAATTCTGAAGTTGTCCGTGACCCCAGGGCAATAACTAAGGGAAGACCAGGGCCTCGTGCTGACCTAGGCCTCGGCATCCACCGTACAGCTCCAGGTGGGTTTTCAGTGGCCAGGAGCAGGCCCTGATGTAGCCCTGCCTCAGCAATGGCCACCCCTGACCTGCCAATGCCCTGTGACTGAGATCCTCAGGGCAGAGAAAGACAGAAGAGCAGTCAATGACATTTGGGCCTTGGACGGGGGCCTCCATGGCTTTCCGGCCTCTGTGTGTTCTGCTTGTCCAGGAGGCTGGCGGGGAGACATTGGGAGCTTCCCCAGTGGCTCTCTCTGTGAGAGGCCAGACACAGGGGATTCAGCCACAGTAAGGGAGTTCACCTTGTTTCCCAATTCCACTGTCCTCATCAAAGATGATCATTATTAAATTTTTATTGTTTATCTTCCTAACCCCCCTAGATTTATAATCCCTTTATAACACATGCCTAGAGACACAGATAAAGACCACATTGTTGTTAAATGTTTCACTTGGAGAGAGGAGGTTGGTGTGTGGTTGGCAACAAGTTGTACAACCACCGCCCACACATCTTCCTTTTAAACTGTGATTACAGAAGAAGGGCCTGGAGAAGAAAACTGTCAGATTTCTAGATGAGATCATTATGAGTGAAAAGAAAGAGGAAAAGAAAAAGGCGGAAGAATCTTCATTGATACCCAGGGTAAGTTTAATCGCAAGCACTCGAGGCTGGGGATGACCCTGACCCACAGCATGTCTGACCCATGTCACCCAGCAGTCTTCACGGGCTTCTCTCTGTCCCGTGGCACAAGGTGATCATGGAATTTATTGAGCAAACCAAGACACATTCATGAGTGAAAGGTGGTGCTATTCATAATTAACTCAAGAATCGCCATCATGAACCAAGTATGTCCCAGGCAGACCACGACAGGTGGCTCCCTGCCCAGAGCTGGAATGAACAGGTTGACGCATCCTTGGCTAGCTCGTCCCATGAGCTTATGGGCCTGAAGACTGAGGCAGGGAGTCTGGGTTGTAGGGAACAGAAACCTCCAAGTGGGGGTACCACACCATTTAAGTTGAGGAGTGAGAGGTGAGGACTGTTTGAGGAATGCATGGCCAGGTAACGTGAAACCAGGTCAAGAATTGAGTGTGAGTGTGAGTGTGTGTGACTGTGTGTGTGTGAGTGAGTGTGTGTGTGTGTGCGTGTGTGTGAGTGTGAGTATATGAGTGTATGTGAGAGTGTGAGTGTGAGTGTGAGTGTATGAGTGTGTGTGTGTGTGACTGTGAGTGTGTGAGTGAGTGTGTGTGACTGTGAGTGCATGTGTGTGTGTGCACATGTGTGCATACATGTCTGTGTTAACGGAAGTTCAAGGTGTGAGAATCAAAAGAAGTGAAGGTGAGAAGTGGATGAGGAAGACCCAAGCGGGGTGGGGCAGGGCACGTGGCAGAGGGACGAGCAGGCTGTAGGTGTGAGCTGGAGTTGGGGGTGACAGAGCGAAGGCTGCCACTCCTCTACAGGCGGGAGGGGTCTGAAGGGAAGGTCACAGACCTCAGGAGGTCAGGCCAGGGTGAAGCATGGTAACCTTTGACCCACTGATCAGGCGCCCTTGCTCTGACTGGCCTTGCAGGTCCAGGAAGATCCGGGTGAGGGAGGTAGGCGGGAGGCCATGGAGACTGAGGTCCAGCGGGTGCCCACGTCCACTAAGCAGGGAGTGGCAGAGGCAGAGACCTCCGCAGTGCTCCTGAGCTGCAGAGGGGGGGCGAAGTGGACAGGCAGTGGACAGAGTCCTGCACATGCCGGCTGAAGTCCCTGGGGATGTTTCTCAGGGGTCCCTGCTTTTCCTTGCTCTTCCTTCCCCCAAATGCAGCCGCCCACCGACTCGGAACAGGCTGCCACCCGGATCCAGGCCTGGTGGCGGGGCACGCTGGTGCGCCGGGCCCTGCTGCACGCGGCCCTCAGAGCGTGGATCATCCAGTGCTGGTGGAGGCAGGTCCTGGTGAGGCTGCTGGAGCGGAGGCGGCAGGCGGCGCTGGACTGCTACGTGAGACAGAAATGGGCCGCCATCAGGCTGCAGTCCTGGTTCCGCATGTGGCGCCTCCGCCAGCGGTACTGCCGTCTGCTCCATGCCGCCCGCATCATCCAGGGCTACTGGCGCTGGCATAACTGCCACACCCGGGGCTTTTTCCAGGGCAACTACCAGCTCACAGCATGTCAGCTAAGACTCCAGCTAGACATCTTTTTGGGATCGCAGGTTTGTCGCGTCACCGACTGCATCCCCTTCCCAATAAAGAACTGACCAGGTCTGCTCCAGCTGTGTGTCCGCCTCTCCGTTAGAACAGCTCTTACCTCATGGCGTCTATTCTCTGCCCGCCCCCTGCTCGCACTAGAAGCAGAGCCCAGGAGAGCCGGGTTCTGGCATCAGCGGGTCCCCAGGACCTAGAACAGCCTGAGCCAAGTGCTCCTCTCTGTCCCCAACACAGACCTAGACCACGCACATGGGGTGATGCAGATGCCCACACAGAGCTGCCAACCAGCCGGACTGCTGGTGTTTAATAACCTTCGTTTTCTTGAGTCCTTCCCGTGTCTCCTCTTGTGACCGTCACACAAAGGGATGTGTGTGTGTGCGTGTGCACGTGTGTGTGTAGAATTGAAGTGAAATTCACTAGAAGAACCCTTTCACTAAGATGAACAAGCTGGTGGCATTTAGTACCCTCACAATGCAAAGCAACCACCAACCGTATGGAATTCCAAACATTTTTTAAGAATTGTTTGTATTGAGAACCAGCAGTTAGCATAATGGCTATGTCACTGGACTCCCACGTAGTCGACCGCAGTTCGTGTCCTGGACCTGGTGACTTAAAACTCACACCGGGCACGTGTGCGTGCGTGCCCAAGATCCCAAGAGGAGAATGGAGGAGAAGGGATTGCGGCGTGGCCATCCCACCTGGGGGGTGATTTCTCGCTTTCTGTCTCTATGTCTCTCTCTGTCTGTCTGGTGAGCGCACGCGCCCTATAGCAAAAAAAAAAAAAAAAAAAAAACCCCCCCAAAAAAAAAAAAAAAAGAATTGTTTGTATTTATCATCATTTTTCAATTTGATATAGGCACTACAATTTTATCATCCTAAAAGAAAACCCCATATCCATCATCAACCATCCACCATGATCTCTTCCTGCAGCCTCTGGCGAAACCCATTTGTGTCCCTCTTCCTAGATGGAGTGTATTTAATATAAAAGAAATCATGCTATATTTTACATCTGACTTCTCTCACTGAACATGTTTTCTAGGTTTGTCCACATTGTAGTATGCCTCAATACTCTATTGATTTTTAAAGAATTATTATTTATTATTATTTTAAACTTGTTAATAGGGCTTGTGTGCTTACCAGAGGGGGCAGTGAGAAAGCAAACCGACAGGTCCAGGACTCGAACCACCATCAGCCAAGTGGGAGACTAGTGCCTTAAATACCACAACACCTGCTGGCCCACTCTAGAGACATTTTAAAGAAGGAAATCCCACCTTGTCCCATGTTTAAAGTGTAAATGTTTTTTAAGGGGTAAAATCATTTACTGGTTGTTTATTTTTGTTACAACCAGAAAATAGTGGGATATTAAATTATAGATAATTAAATTATATAACCTGACTATCTTCAGTATCAGGTTAACATGCCATAGGTGTGTGTGGGGGGGGTGAATAGTTTTTTTAAATCCTAAATACAAAGCATACTAAATGGCAATTTAGAGTTACAGTTGTGTATTTAATATGTCTTGAATATTTTATTATCTGGAGAGATTTTTGCCATAGGGTGCTTGTCAGAAAGACAGAAAGTGAGAAATTACTCCCCTGCCGGGATGGTCACATCGCGATCCCTTCTCCTCCATTCTCCTGTGTGGGTACACACACACGTACCTCACGTGATTTTCAAACCACCAGGTCCAGGACTCTAAGGGAGTTCAGCCCCTTAACTACTGTGCCACCACCTGCTGGCCCCTATCTTGAACAGTTTTAATTACTTCTAATTTCATATGATTTTTTTGTTTTTTTTTTAGGTTGTTGTTTTTGTTTTTTAGAGGCCATGTGAGCTCACCTGAGACAGAGAGAGACAGAGAGAGGGAAAGTGAGAAATCCCCCCCAAGGAGGAATGGCCACGCCACAATCCCCCTTCATTCCTGGAATCGGGGCATGCACACACACGCTCAGTGTGATTCCCAAGCTGCCACGTGTGAGACTTGAACCACAGCTGACCACGTGGGAGTCTAGCCCTTCAAACACGACACCACCTGCTGGCCTCCTCACGTTTTCTAGTTGAATCAGTTCCTAAAGAAAACCACTTCTGGATCGCTGCTCTTCCTGTCAGGCTCTGTAAGGCCTTGGTGGAGGTAGGCCAGCGCTCCTCATCTCATTAGTGTGCTGCGTGAGCTTGGGGACCTCAGTATGTGGTGTGACAGTAAGTGGTGCTACGTGGCATCGTTCCACATTTGAAGATTCTGGCACTTGCCATCCTGTTAGGGAAAACTTGCCTACAAATCTGAGCTGGAATATCACTGGACTGTTTTAAAAAGAATACGAGGGGGGCTGGCAGGTGGCATGGTGGTTAAGGCGCTGGACTCCCTCATGGCCAATTGCAGTTTGAGTCCCAGATCTGGTGGCTTGATGTCTTATTTTCCTTCTCTCCCTTTCTCTGTCTCTCTCTAATGACTATACCGAGTTTAAAATAATAATAATAATTAATTGATTAAATAAATAATTCTAAAAGAAAAGAAGAGAATCACAATGTTGAGCCAGCAGGTGGCGTGGTAGTTGAGGTGCTGGACTCCCACATGGCCAGCCATGGTTCAAGCCCTGGACCCAGTGGCCTGAAAATCACACTGGGCACATGTGTGTGCCCCAAATCCTAAGGAGAACAGAGGAGAAGGGGATTGTAGCATGGCCATCCCCCGGGTGAGTAGGTTGGTTTCTCACTTTCCCTCTCTCTGTCTCTCCAGCAAGCACACATGTCCTATGTGGCTTTTTAGATTTGGGGTATGTACATTAAGAATTATGTACTAAGTGGCCAGCAGGCGGTATGGTGGTAAGGTGCTGGACTCCCACATGGTCAACTACAGTTTGAATCCTGAACCTGGCAGCTTGGCAATCCCAACAAATAAATACATAAATAAATGTTTAAGAAAATTGTGTACTAATTGAAATGTCTGTGTACTGATCCTTGACACAACCAATAAATCTCAAATACAAAAGGAAGAAAGCTAGAGGGATCAGCAGATGGCGTAATGGTTATCCTCTGGACTCCCACATAGTCAACCACGTTTAGAGTCCCAGACCTGGTGGCTTGAAACTCACGCCAGGTGCATGTGCATGCCTGCTCAAAATCCCAGGAGGAGAAGGGATTGGGGTGTGGCCATCTCCCTGGGGGGTGATTTCTCACTTTTATCTCTCTGATGAGCACATATGCCCTATAGCAAAAATCTCTCTAAAAAAGAGAAAAGAAAATCAGAAAGACTGTGATCTCTTAGGATATATAAGCAGAAAATTCTAAAACTTGAGTAGAAATTATCACAAAATTAATAACATTACCCAGAGTTCAGTTAAATGAATTTATAAACTATTAAGTCCAATCAAATACCCAACATACTGAATGGGCAAAAGAACCCATCTCTGGGTGTATCATCCTAAACTGTTGGACCATCAGGGATAAAGAAAAGATTTAAAAGTTTTTGAGAAGAAAAATATAGCTCACGTGCCAGAGAGTAAGGAATCACAATGGTGTAAAACTTCTAGAAGAGATTGGAACAAAATCATCAAAATTTGAAGAAAAAAAATTTGATCAAGAATTAGATATTCCCTGGGAACCAGCAGTTAGCGTAACGGCTATGTCGCTGGACTCCCACGTAAACCACAGTTTGCGTCCCGGACCCGGTGGCTTAAAATGTCAGGCGCGTGTGTGTGTGTGCCCAAGATCCCGAGAGGAGAATGGAGGAGAAGGGATTGCAGCGTGACCATCCCCCCTGGGGGGTGATTTCTCGCTTTCTGTCTCTCTGTCCCTGTCTGGCGAGCGCATGTGCCCTATAGTGAAAAAAACCTCTCCAGAAAAAAAAAAAAATTAGATACTCCCCTCAAAAGTATATCAATCAGATTTGAGGGTGGAATACGCCATTTTCGGACATGAAAGGCCACAATTTATACCCATGGACCCTTTCATAGGAAACTACCAGAGGGCATGCCCTGTCCTACCTGAGAAAGAGGGAGAGTCCCACGGTCAGGGCCATGCTCCTATCCCTTGGTGAATATCTCCACGTAAACGGTAAACCAGAGTCGCGGGACTGTGACATATACTTTGATTTCGTCCATGGGTCCCAGTTCATAAGTATCTGGTTCCTGAAGCAACTTCAGAACAGCTCCAGAGAAACAAAGGTGAGAGACGGTCCCTCCTTTCACCTGCCCAGAGGTCGGTCTTGGAAACTGTGCTCTTCCCCTTCCTGACCTTCATTCTAGAAGGGTCCTGCCTATACCCAGGGGGAGAGGAATGTCATGTGGAGAGGCTAAGAATTAGAACAGACGGTCCTCACCTGGTTTCGCCACCCAGTCCATGCATATCTGATGCCTGTGGTGTGAAGTCGCCATAAAAGCTCAGAAGGACAGGGCTCCCTGAGCTTCCGGCAACTGGACACCCTGAGGCTCCTGGAGGGTGCTGTGTCCAGGGAGCGCTTGGAAGCTCTGCACCTCTTCCCACATGCCTTGTCCTAGTCACCTCTCCATCTGTATCCTTCAAAATACCCTTTCTAATAAATCAGTAAGCACCCATCAGTGTTTCCCTGAGTTCTGGGAGCCACTCCAGCAAAGTAATTGAAACTAAAGAGGGAAAGGGCTCATGGGAACCCCAGCTTGTAACCAGCTGGTCAGAAATTCTGGAGGCCCAGACTTTTGACTAGTGTTTAAGGTGTATCTAGGGCTGGCTCCATGGCTGGTGGTTAAGACAGCCAGATTCCACATGGCCAATCACACAGTTCGAGTCCCAGACCCGGAGGCTTGAGAAATACAGCACATGTATGAGTACATGCACAAAATCCCAAAAGGAGGGAGAGATGGAGGAGAAGTGGTGGCCGTTCCCCATGGAGGGTGCTTTCTCCTCTTCCTGCCTCTCTGTGTCTCTCTGGTGAGGGCACACACCCTCTGACAGAAAAAAAAAAAAAAAAAACAAAGTGTGTCTAAAGAGTGGACGATGGTGGGGTGAAGGGGTCTTGGAGACTGAGCCAACACCTGTGGGCTTTGACACGTGCACGTGCTGAAATACACGCCAAGTTTGACAGAGCAGCTATCTCCAGGTGGTAAGGGAGTAGGGTACAGAAATTGGTGAGGTAGCTCCATCCTGGCCCCCACTTGGCCCCTTCCACTCACCACCACACCCACTCCCCTCATTATAAGAGGATTATTCAGAGACCAGCAGTTGGTGTAATGACTATGTCACTGGATTCCCATGCTCGACCATGGTTTCAGCCCGGGACCTGTTTAACTCACGCCAGGTGCGTGTGTGTGCGTGCCCAAGATCCTGAGAGGAGAAGGGAGAAGGGATTGTGGTGTGGCCATCCCCCCGGGGGGTGATTTCTCGCTTTCTGTCTCTCTGTCTCTCTTTGTCTTTCTGGCGAGCGCACGCGCCCTATAGCAAAAACCTCTCCAAAAATAAAATAAAATAAAACAAGAGTATTATTCAGCCCACTGAAGAAAGGGACCACAGCTGAGAAGAGGTCCCAGGGAGCCAGCCTGAGGCAGCTCAGGGGACACGGCACGAGCTGTCCTCCACAGAGGCTGATGACAAGATGGGCTGTGGGACGGCCAGACCAGAAGTCACCCTTAGGCAGACTCACAGGTGTGGTGGTACCCCCAGGGCTCTAGTCCATCCCTGGGCAAAGGGCTATGACAGGGTACCTCCTCGATCCTGTATCTCCGAGCCCTGGTCCTGGTCACAGCTGCCTTTGTGACATCATGTCTCTTTCCTCCTCCACCACACCTCCCAGCCCTACCAGGACCAGGGGAGCAGCCATCTGAAGAGGATGAACATCTGAACCACTGCCCTCGTACCATGGGCAATAGATGTTGTGTAAGACTGTCAAGGGCCCAGAAGGTGGCATAGTAGTTAAGGTGCCGGACTCCCACATGGCCGACCATGGTTCGAGTCCTGGACCCAGAGGCTTGAAACACACCAGACACATGCATGTCTGTGTGTCTAAAGTCCCAAGAGGAAAAAAGAGGAGAAGGGATTATGGCATGACTATCCTCCTAGGGGGTGATTTCTCACTTGGTCTCTGTCTCTCTCTTTGTCTCTGGCAAGCGCACACACACTATAGTGAAAATTTCTCTAAAAAAAAAAAAAAGACTCGGGAACCAGCAGTTAACGTAATGGCTATGTCGCTGGATTCCCACGTAGTCGACTGCAGTTCGCGTCCCAGACCCAGTGGCTTAAAACCCACGCCGGGTGTGTGTGCGTGCATGCCCAAGATCCTAAGAGGAGAATGGAGGAGAAGGGATTGCGGTGGGACCATCCCCCCTGGGGGGTGATTTCT